TGCCCCCTACTGGATCCGCCACTGACATATGCTATATAAATGTGATAGTTGGGTGCAATATATGGTGTATAAATGTAAACTATTATTATTCTTGACATGAATGTGGTTCGGAGTGGACCACGAATAGGAATACTTACAGGGAGTGGAGGGATTTGCACATGGTACAAGGTCACAAATATTGCTCCATCCCTCCCCAGCGAACTTAGCCACCCCTCTAAATGTGATTTTCATGGTGGTTCTGAAGTAATATATACCCTCTCTTTGAAAGTTCCCCCTGCCAGGGGCGGTTTGAGAATTATTCGAACTCCTGAATCCACCACTGTCTATCCAGTATTTATCGGAAACATTCTTCTGAAAGATTCACAACACATGTTATCTTTTCTCCCGGAGAAATGTCCACGTCTTCTGAAATCGTTGCGATATCATAGTTTTTAACCCCAGCGGCCTCGTCCTCCCTCATGCCACCGAAAAGCATATGGCCGACCACACGATAAACGTGGCCTTTTATAATAATAATATTTATTCTGTGCTCTGCTGCCACCAAATCCTGTGAAATCTCAAACTTGCTATCGATGTTGTTTTTGTCTGGCCTTTCTTTCATTGCATTATCATGTTTTATACAATTCTGTGCCCATTTATACCAGTCGTAAACTGCAATTCCAAAGTTAGTTAAAACTGAAAACCCGTGCCGGTTCATCAAGACCATTGGTTGCCACAGCAACAGACGGCGCAACACGTACTCGTCGGCGAACGTATCGTAACAATTACACCAAGTGTTGTCTTTGTTGCGGCTGTTTCCTATTCGCAGGATATACCGCCCCATCGCGACAGATGATGACCTGAAACAACAGTAGAAATTATCGCGGCACTTATTCCAGTTTCCAGGCGGCGAAATTGTTTTGCTCCACATTTTATGGTTACTCATTATATACAATTTACCGTTAAGAAACACCAGATCATCGTATGAATCTTCTTTTGTAGTTACCTCGATTGGTGTTTCGATGTTTTTCCATTTGTTTCTCGCAGTAGAGTACTTCCATAGTTGAGATCGCTTAACAATTGCGTAAATGCTATCTCTTGCAACAGCACATGTTGTTATCTTACCCGGCACGTTGAGTCCAGGTAAGTGAAGCCATTTGTTCTTTTTATGGTTGTAATACATTGGCTTTTTGCATTTGAATGTCACTAACACCTGTGTCATAGAATGAAAACAAAACATCGTAGAAAATAGACTTAAAATAATGATGAATCAGAATTGGATAGAATGAATTTGGAAAAATCTTCAAGAGTTCAATAACTGCAAAAACTAATGAAATCCAGTACTCCATAACCAATAATTATGAGGAAGGGGAACTTCCCGACCCGTGTTCTGATATTGATAACAATGCTGCTGATGAATTGATGGTGGTTGAAGATAACAAGACAACGTTGTCCCAAGATGTTAAATCTATAAAAGTTAAAGGTTATGCATTTATACCGCACAAAATACGAGGGTCTCTATGCGCAAAAACAAGTGAACAGTACAGTAAATGGAAACACAAGAAGAAAAAAGAACCCCAAGCCAACACCCAAACCGCAATATAACGCCTATGTGAAGCGGAGAATGACTACCGGATGTGATTTGCATTGAGTTTATTTAAATTTAAAAAAAAAGAAAAAAAATGTTTACTCCACGTGAATTTGCCGACACAAAAAGCGTGGGTGAGTGCTTTTTTTATGCTTATTATTAGTGACCAAATTCTCTATTATTTACCTATACTCTAATGGATATTTTCATAGTGCCAAACTAACAGTTGACTAATCAGGACTGTTATTTAACGCCATAAATACACGCTTTTCCCAGAAACACACACGTTTACGTACGTTCACGCTGTCTAATACGCAGCACCATATCTTAGCGATAACTTACAATAAATGATAATAATGATCATTAATAAATAACAATAATTTATAAACCATATTAAATAATAACAATAATTTATAATAATAACCAATACAATTTATAATAATGGCCTCCCAGGCTTTATATTTACCCTTCGTTGCTGTGGAATGTCCATAGCAAGTGCTGGTTGTATTGCGTATCGATGCATTTCGTTAATGTATGCCTCCCGTAAATGTGGAACCTCCATTAGGTCAGGCTTGTACATCGTCCGTTTCAGATCTTCGGCGGCAATTTGAGAAAGTTTAACATGAGCTAGAACATCACCTAGACATCAAATAAGTATATTTATACAAAATAACACTATCAGTATCTGTCAATATACTTTAGTTCATGATGATGTTTTAATGTAAGCTAAAACCTAGACATGAAGTATTGTATATGATGCTGATATTGATATTTTGTATGGGATTAAATATAGTAATCTAAAACGCAAACAATAATAATTTTGCAAAGGAACTGTACCGATGTTTTACCTGCTACACAGCCTCTAGATTTGATGTCATAGCGAATCCAATTTAATATTGTTTGCAAAAGATCCACCTCTGATGGATATGCGAGACCCTTCGTTTGTAGCATCTGTATTAGTTTATCTGCACCGACTGCCGCTTGAAACTGCTGACAACTTAGAAACTTTACAAAATCTTGGCATAACCTCTTCTCGATTTCGTTTATAATATTTGTCATATTACCCTTTATAGCTATTGTGTAGATATCACCACAGTGATCAACATCAAGTGATTCATTTCTACACGTAGCCTCATCAACGTAACCCATACAACGTTGGATTATTTGTTGATTAGCAAAATTTGCCACGGACATCAAATCTAAAGCATTGTCTTTTCCAATTGCAACGGACATAGGTTGACGAATTTCTTGGAGCCAAAGTTTAAACCCACGCGCGTTAACTTCAGGTGATTTTATAATATCGACTAGTCTGATGCAGCCTTGAGTTGTAATGCTAAAATGATTTTCAAAATTTGGCCCGAGTAAGGCCAGCTCTGATCTTGACACATTGAAGTCTGTTTCATCGACACAGATTGTTATACCTCTTTCAGAGGGAAGAACTGTGTTTTCCAAACTACATGTTCCAATACTTTCCATCCTGTGTATACATGATTATGAAAAACCATGAAAACAAGAACATTATTATCAATCACGACAGCAGAAGTAAAAGCAGCAAAAGTCAAAATAGGTATATAAATAATTAAACAAATAAAACTAAACTAAGAAGTAGTTATATTAAATTTGATCTGCTTGTCATACGCAAGAAGAAGACAGCAGCATCGAATCATAAACGACAACAACATCATTAAATGTAGGATCAGTACATCGACAACAGCAACAACAGTAGCAAGTACGTCACCATTTTGTTGATTTTTTGTCGTTTGGTTATTTGTGATGTACCTTTATCCTTGTGTAATTTGTTTTGTCTATTTTTTACATATGCTTGTTTTTCGTCTTTGTGCAGACCCCTAGCTTTACCAATGATTACCTGTTCCTCTCATTTCAACAAATTCTATTTGTATAAAAAACTAAAAAATAAGAAAAAAAATATATAGTTGTTTATTTGACCTTAATTCATCAACAAAGGTAGAAGTAGCATATCATCATCATCATTAGCAACATTTCCACGAAGAAACAGTGACACCATGATATCATCATCAACTGACATCATCATCATCATCATCATCATCATCATCATCATCATCATCATCATCATTACAACAACAGCAGCTACAACAACAATTACAGTAGCTACGTTGTCTACTGGCAGCATTATAAAAAACAACAGCAGCAGTGACACAACAAGAACAACAGGACTAATATACACAAGAAGAACAACAGTAACAACACAGTTTAATATAAGCATATTAATTCGCAATTAAATGTTAAAATGGCAGTAATTAATCATGATTATAAAAAGTAGCCTATTTAACCTGGTTTCCATAAAAATCGCTGCACCCTAACGTCAACTCCTGGCGACGCTGATAGGCCAGTTGTATCAGGGAGGGTTCCTCATTGCAGGAAAACGCTGTAGCGATTCTATGGAAACAAGGCTTTATATTAGGCCTACAGATCTGAAAAAAACCCCTAATGATAATAATAATGATGACGATGATGATAGTGATAGATTTTTATAGCACGATCATTATTTTACAGAAAAACTTGAGGTAATTTACAGAAAAAAAAAATGAACAGCCAAAAAAAAAAAAAAATCCAATTGTATAAACAGGGCCGGGAACAGTGAAATTATAAAATATTCATGAATTTAACAAAATCGGCAAATTAGAGGAGCCAGAATTTCCGCTCTATTTGTAGGCACTTTGAAATCCCCAGTAATGGTCTTATTAGTTCGCAAACACAGCAGCTCAAGTGATGCTGGTATTAGTAGTACTTAATTAAGTGATTAAAAATATTGAGAAAATATTACTGGATCATTACAATTGTGTATAGTATATATAGGATCTCATCGTTAGTTTTTACAAGTATTTCAATAAATGCATACAATAAGTAATGTACATTACATACCTTAAAATCCAATCGTTCGTTCTTCAATGACTAATATTGGAAAAACCCATTTGACGAATTCACAGAAAAGGAAATTACCGAAAATTAATAAAGGAAGTATATGTGACGTAGGCCTAGAATGTTTCGAAAACTTTAAAAACATTTACAATATAGACGGAGAATAATGAATAAGGGTGTGTTTTGGACCTATGTTCAATTATAAATATGTTAAGTAAAACATAGTAACACAATAATTTTAAGATCCAAAAAAAAAAACCCTTTAAAATTCACGCATTTATAAAAATGATATACTGTAAACCTTTATTATTATATGCTTGCATTTTGAAATTACATTAACTTTGCTTTTATTTGTATATTTATATTAATGAGACAAATAAACAAAATAAAATGAAATGAACGAGTTCATATAGCTCGTCAAATGTAAGTCTAAAGTCTTCATTTTACAATGAATGTTTAGCATTATGTGTTTAATCAATCAATATAATCAGTTTCTTAATCAACAAATCAAATCAGGAGGTGATTTAATATTTTCTACATTTCATTTATTTTGTGAGCTTTGCGGATTTGCAATACACAAACAAAAAATTCTACTTCATGAAAGCACTTCGTGGAAGAGAAACCAAAGCAATATTTTTGTCCCCAGGTAAAATTGAAACTTTGTCTTTGATATAATTTATATTTTTACAAACATTACTTTTGTTATAATAAACTGTATTTAGCAAAAACAATGTTTGTCCCACAGCAAGATGGAGTTTATCCTTTATTAAAATTGCTCCGCTTGACTGCGGAAGAGAGATCCCATCTTGTGTTTCCTGTGGTATCAGAAAGTCTGCGCTTGATTCCGAGTCCATACTTTCACCGTTCTTGATACAATATTTAATCCATTTATACCAGTCGTATATACCGCTGCCATCAATCATCATTACTGACTGTAGCCCTCCCCTTTGAACAATAATCGGTTGTTTTGCCATCTGATATCCAATTCGGACGTACTCCATCTTCGTGACGTCGTAACAACTACAATAGATCGTCTTCTTGGAGTTACTTCTACCAAATCGAATTATGTACTTTCCGGAAGATGAAGACATAGTACAGTTATGAGTACACCTCACGCATTCCATCCAATTACCTACCCCTCTTTTCCACATTCTCCTGTTCTCCATCAGATACAGGGTCCCTTGAAGACATACCAAATCATCAGGGACAGACGACCAGGGTGTATTATACAGCTTCCTCCATTCATCTTGTTGACAAGAATACTCCCAGATTTCATAGCGATTCGAAGAGTCGAGGGGGTTAGTGTATTTAACAAGAGATGTTATTGTACTGAGTGTGCTGGTGCATTTTATAATCTGTCCTGGTGGGTCTTCAACCATAGGCAAACAGTGCCACTTGTCTTCCTCTTGCTCGTAGTACATCGGCGATTCGCATTTGAAAGTTACTAAAAACTGACGAAAAAGGGAAATATACAGATATATTTTATGTGTAACACACATTATCATTATATCTCTATCATTGTCAATGTCATTGTTACTGTCATCAGTATCATTATCGGTATTTGTTATTCGCGTATGTATATATTTTTTATTATCATAAATTGTATGTATGTATTATTATTATCGTCATAATTATTTAATGTAAAATTAATGTTAACAAAGACTAATAATGCAATTAGTGTAAAGTTTTTTGGGCAGTGATTTGAAAAAAACCAAATACAGTTAAACCATTAATACATTTAAAAAATCGTAAGGCCCATTGGTATTTTTTATACACTATGGTTCAGTTGGCTCCCTATTATTTCAATAGTGCTTTCAACGCTTCACATTTATGTAATAATGTATGTATTAATTAGACTTCTTTGGATAAAAAAAAAAACACCCTTCGGCAATTTTAAAAGCTATTTTATGTGTTTAATAAGGAAAATATTATAAAAATTGCGAAGTTGCTATAAACAAAGTCGATGATGTAATAAACCACATGTCAACCTCTGATTCTTCAAAAACTGATCTCCATTGAAATGTATTATTGTACCTTTCATTTCCAGATATCACCGTATTCTACCAAGGACTGAAAAAATCGTGAAATCTTGAAACCATCTAACGCAATTCATACAGTATCTCACACTCTAACACTTACCCTGTTCTCCGCCGTGGAGTACCTTTGGTATCTTGGTCTCCGTGGACGGGTTGCTTTCATCTCTTCTATGGCATGACAGTGTATTGCATCCATGTACACATTAAGACATTCCTCATTCTTCATGAATTCATCCTTGTACAGGGCGTTTTTCAGAATCGCTGCAGGAATGACATGGAGGTATAGGCACTTCAACATGTCGGCTTCAATAAAAGAAACAAAAGCTGTGTCAAAATATACTGTTAAGGTTAGTAAGGTTTCAGGCCTATACTATTTTCAATTTTTGACGTTAATCTTTTCAGAATCTAATGCATGTTTCTACCATAGAAAATTCTGGGGGTACATTCGTTTATTTTGCTTGAAATAAAACTTCAAGTGCTCTCAAACTTTGATAACGCATTTATTTCAAGTCTAGCATGACTTGCTGTCGACTGTTACATAATGGTGGTCATGGGTACAAAGTGTCCCATTGGAACACTACTTCAACCTCATTGTTTTAGTAAATGTGTGATTTTACCTAGAAAAGTTTTTCTTGCAGACAAATCAAAATTGACCCAAGTCATGATGGCCAAAAACAACTTCTCTTCAGACGTCACCGTCAGGTGGGGCATTTTCAGAATCTCTAGCAACTTTGTAGCATCGACTGCTTTTTGGAACTCATTGTTATAGAGAGCTTCAGCAATATTATCAGTGATAAATTCTCTTGTACGATTCTCTAAGTTTGTGTCACTAAACAAACACGCACAACTATATACCATAATACCAAACTCTTTCATTGATGGGTCATTTGCTGAAGAGCGCAGTAAATCGGCAACAGTAGTTTTGCAACGACGTAGAACCCATTGACTCCGTGTAGTATAAGCAACTTTCCAAACGTCTATTATATTTTTAGTCGTAAATTCAACCGATCCTGGTGAGTTTATTTCCTCGAGCCAGAGTGTGAACCCATTTGGATTAATTTGGGGGTGGTTCAAAGAAACCAAAGTTGCTTTGCTCTTGGCGAAAATACTTTCAAAGAAGCTGCTTTGAGTACCTAGGACAGTGCTGTTAACTGGAAATTCATTGCTGCCGACGACAATAACTTTGTCACATTCGATTCGTCGCCATATATGTTTCTTTTGATCTTTTTTCAAAACCTGTTTGTTGAGAAAACGAGAACAAGAAAACATTTATTAGCGTTGTCGTTATTATATCGGCACCATTGTCGTCGTCGGCTGTTTGTCATCGTGTGCGCCGCCATCTTTTCTTTAACAGCACTGGTAGTAACAGTAATAGTTGAGTATCCGTAGTGAGACAAAATTCAATCAGTGGATTTTAAAAACAGAAAAATTATGATTACTACTACTTACAGAATGTTCTTCCGGGACCCGGATCCGCGCTCGCCATCCTCTCGCCTCTCTCGTTGGAACTTGCATTACTTATGTCTGTTTTGTACGGTATCCATAATAAGAGAAGACTATATTATTTAATTTATATATGTTAATTAATAAATTATATATATATATATATATATACAAAATTAACATATATAAATTAAATAATATAGTATAGTAGTATATAATAATTATGAATCAAGATAGCCAATAAAACTGTGAAATTAAATATAAATCATCAAAGAAAGGTAAATACAGTGTTCGAATAAAGGACATGAGGGTACATCGTGTAGCATAGCATTCAACAAATGTTGTCCTATAAATAAATACATTGTGTAATAATGCGTGAACCTGCGACCTCTCGCTGTCAAGGCGACCGTCATAACCATTTGACCACAGAGGCTTCATGGTTCAAATAACCGTTGTTCTGTTTTAATACCCATATTTTCCGAACTCTAAAAAAAGTAGAATCACTATCTATCACTAAAATACAACATAGGCCTAGGCCTTTTAGTATTTTTACTCAATGTAATTATGTAATGAATTAATAACTATATGGTAATAGAATAAATGGGCTAAATAATAATTTAATAAAGACCCTTCCAACTTAAATAAAGAAATTTTATAAATAAAGGCATGTTAACCACAGTTGTCGTGCTACATAGATATTACCCATTATTAAACCAACTGTTCAACTACTGAACAATATACCCTTTTGGAATTGTCTACATTACAGGATCGGATATTACTTTTTGTATAACAAAATATATAAGAATGTAAAAAAAATGTTGCTACATACCTTTCTAATTGTTTGTTTTTCAATGATTAACATTTGAACAACCCATTGTGTCGACATTTACAGAAAAGGAAGCAGTGGAGGAGTAAAGGAAGTATAATTTCATGTCATCGAATGTCAGGGGGCGTTTTCATTTCAAATAAAATCTATTTGCTGAGTCATACCAACAACAGTGTCAGACCAGAAATTATTGCATTGGTGTCTTCCGAAGCACACTGACATTTAATAACATTTCGAAATCACAATTAAAATCCATGCTTAAGGGATCAAATTTTATATTTAGAATTCACCTATCTTAAAGGTTGGATTGAAATTAACTGTCAGTAATCTTTCAGAAAATGGTGAGTAACGGACAGACTTTCTACCTATTGAATTTGTATTATTAATTGCATTCTTTATCATCTATTCAATCAAATCATTCATTTAATCAAAAAGTAATAAACCAATATAAATACATCAATAATCAAATCATCAATCAATTAATTCAAAAATCAATCAATAAAGTAAAAATTGAATGTGAGCTAAGTACAGTAATTAGTTGTTTGTATGCCCTTCTTTTTTTTAAATGATAAACATGGGCGGCTGGAAATTTTTGTTTTTTGTTTTTGTTTTTAACATACTCATCAGATGGAATAAAAAAAACCCACAGAGGCCTAGAATGACAATATCTAACATCAGATCTTAGACTAATTTGTAGGGCATCTGGCAAAAAATAAAGATAAATTCACTCACATTTTTTTTTTAATTTGTAAAGAAAAAAAAGTTTTTTTTTGTTTTTCCGCCCCTATTTTTTCAAAGAGTTAGGGGCGGGTGGAGGAGGGTAACAAACAATTTTTTTTTGTTTTTGGCCTTATGTGAGAGATTTACAATACACGAAGCTGTCTAATCCTATTTGAATTTCTTCCTGATTGCAAGTTCAAAGAAAGCATTCCCGAAGAAGACTAATAGAAGCAATATTCTTGTCCCCTGGCAAAATTGAAACTTTCTTCTTGATTTTCGTTATATTTCTGCAGACATTTTTACTGTTCGTACGGTCTGCATTGGGCAGAAACAGGGTCTGTCCAACAACGTAGTGAAGTTTACCTTTTAGTAGAATTGCTCTGTTTGACTGCTGACGAGGGCTCCCATCTTGAGGAAGTAGAAACGCTGCACCTGATTTCGAGTCCATGACTTCATCATTATTGATACAATATTTAACCCATTTATACCAGTCGTATATACCGCTACCATCAATCATCATTACCGAATGTACCCCTCCCTTTTGAACAATAATCGGTCTGGCCATCTGATATCCAATTAGCCTGTACGTATTGTAGTTGACGTCATAACATTTAAATATTATTTTTCTGGATTTTATACATCTACCAAATCGAATGATGTACTTCCCGAAACCAAATGAAATTGTTTGCCTATATATAGTATCGACACGATCACATCTTTCGCATTCACTCCATCTGGTAAACCTGTGTGAACCCCCAACTCTTTTCCACATCCTCCAGTTGTCCATCAGGTACAGAGTCCCTTGAAGGTACAACAGATCATCAGGGTTAGACGTCGGTGAATATAGCTGTTCCCATTTATTGGTTTGACACGAGTATTCCCAGATTTTGGTGAAGCTGCCAGAATCCTCTGCCCATGGCTGTTTGCTATCCACTGGGTTAGTAGATTTAACAAGAGCATATATCGTACTGAACGTGCTCGTACATTTTATGATCCGTCCCGGGGGAACAGTAGCCCCAGGGAGAGGATGCCACTTGTCTTCTTCGTGTTCGTAGTACATCGGCCGTTTGCATTTGAATGTTACTAAAAACTGAGGAAAATACAAAAAAATCATTATTAGGCCTATTACTGTATTATAATAATAAATTATTATTATTATTACTATTATTATTATCATCATTATCATTATTACCACTATTATTATTGTTATTGTTATTATTATCAACAACAATATTAGTATTAGGACGTATCATTATATTATCTATTATTTTAATGTTCCTTTTGTATTGTTTACTACGAGGACAATAAAGTTAAAGTTATCTATCTATCTATTATATATTAATAATTATTATTATCATCAATATCACTATTATCATCATATTTGCGTTATAAACACGTGTCACAGATTTTTGTTTTATATCATTACAAATGCCGTTGGCATAACAGTAATTTGTCACTATTATAATAACACATTTTTAAAAATATTATTGTGTATTAATTTTTTTATATAATTAATGTAAAAAAATTGAACATATCATATGTCATCAATGATCCACTTTTCCCGATTTTTTTTTACAACAATTCGCATTAAAGGGCAACGCCATAACATTTTACCTTATGCCCCTCCAAGGAACACCTTTGATATGCTGGTCTTCGTGGCCGGATTTCTTTAGTCTCATCTATGGCACTAAAATATAATTCAAGGAATTGTTTATCCATCATAAATTTTCCCCTGTACAGGTTCTCTTTTAGAGTCGCAGCAGGAACCTCATGGAGATATAGAAGCTTCAAAATGTCGACTTCGATAAAAAGAAATAAAATATTTTATTAAACCCTACTACTATAAACGTATGAAAGGAATGGTTGGCCCATTAAGAGGTGGCGGCAGTGTGTGTGGGGTGGGGGAATCGATTAAATATACCTTTAAAACCCCTAATTTTGAAACTTTTCGGGGGCTTTGCCACCTGGACTACGCCCGACCATGCTCACTTTGCTCTCGTTGGGGATATCGGCCCCCTGTGGGAGACCTCGGACCCCCGTCGGGCATATCCCTGCCACCCCTGTCCATTTATGTTAGCATTAGTCTCCTCATTATATACCTGATTTAATGATAGTGTAAAGTGTGGCCACGCATTAATTTGTTACCTGCTGGGTTTACATACTGGCACATCCTTCAGTTTTATTATGGGCCCACACCACACTCACTCTTTAAAAAAATAGATTAAATTACCTAGCAAGTGTTCTCTTGCGCTGATATCAAATTTGACCCATTCCATGATCCCTAAAAACAGTTTCTCTTCAGACATTACTATCAAACTTCGCTCCTTCAGAATCTTCCGCAACTTTTTGGCACCAATTGCATTTTGGAACTCAATGTTATGAAGAGCTTCAACCACGTTATCAGTGACGAACTGTCTTGTCTGAAGTTCAAGACTTGTGTCATCAAACAAATACGCCAAACTGTAAACCGTGATACCAAACTCTTTTAACGACAAGTCAGAATTGGACAAAAGAGAGAGAATGGTAGATTTACAGTGATTTAAAACGCGTTCACTCTGTGCGAAATTTGCAACTGCCCATACGTCTAGTATATTTTCAGTCGTAAATTCAACGGATCCTGGTGAATATATTTCGGTAAGCCAGTCTGTGAACCCATTCGAATTAATTTGCGGGTGCTTCAAAGTAACTCTTGCTTCGTTGGTCTCTTTCATACCAATTGTGAACATACTTTTGAAGAAGCTACTATGAGTGGCTAGGACAGTGCAATTTACAGGGAATTCATCACCATCAACGACAACAATTTTGTCACATTCAAGTTGGTGGCACAAAGTTGTATCTTTCTTTTGATCGTTGACTTCTGTCTTAGCTGTTTGTGGAGATAAACAGAAAGAAAAATAAAAATATTACCCTTGTTGAGGTTATCGTTCCAGGGGTGGCACCAAGCAATGCCGTAGCCAGCTATTGCGACAGTTGGGACAGTCCCGCACAATTTTTCTAATGGGTCCACAAAGAATGCTGTAAATCACTTTGCTTATGATTGAAAATGTAAACCAAAAAAGAAAAAGGGAAAAAAGAAATAATGAAAATTTCGTAAAGGAAAAAAAGGGGAAAAAGAATGAAAGAATGTGAAAGGTGTAAACAGAATGTCTATTACAAAGGTACAGTAATTAAGGTTAAAGAAAATGAAAATCAGGAGGAAAACAAAAATATTTAATAATTGGTACACTGCAGTGTATGTGTGTTTGTTTTATTTGGGGGTATGCTTTTTTACGTAAGCCTATGTATATGTGTGGGTATGTGTGTGGGTGTGGGCGTGGGTGTGTGTTTGTTGGTGTATTTATGTATGTATGTGTGTGTGTGTGTGTGTGTGTAGGTGTGTGTTTGTATAATACATATATTGCATGTATGTATAGGCATGGAGGAAATGAATTACGGGAAATGTGCAATTTTCTCCTACTTAAAAAAAGTATGCTTATGAAATTCAATTCATTTTTCTTTTAAATTTGTTTTATATTGCATTAATATATAAATACAAAATTGTTTTGAATTGTGAACGCATATTTAAATATTGGTACAGCATAAGATCACTGTATAATAGGAGAGGAAACGAAAAATTGAAAATCATGAAAAAAGAGGACAAAGAAAGGTGGGTGATCCCCACGAAAGACAAAAAAAAAAAAGAATGGGTCTACATTTTTTAAAATAAGTCCAAATTATGCAATTTTATGCATAAAATGAGTCCACTTTTTAAAAATTGGGTCGAAATTTCTCTTATTTAGCCTAAAATGGGTAAAAGTTAAAGGAAATGGGTGCAGAATGTTCATATTTTTGCGTAAAATGGGTAAATTTTTAAGAAAAGTTCATTACTTGAATTTATACGTAAAGTGGGTGGGTCCACCCTAATATTGTGTCGCACTGTTTGAAAATCTTGGTTACTGCATTGGCACCAAGGTTTGCCCGAGGGGAGGGGACCGATTCCCCCGACAAAGGGCGATGTCCCATCCCACAGAGAGCAAAGTGTGCGTGGCCAGGCGTCGCACAGTTTCGAGTGGTCCAGGTGGGAATATGATACTGTAAGAGTTTCAAAGACTTATTTAATCGATTTTAGAGTCTACTAATATCATATAGAAGACATTGACATTTTTTTTCTCCCACGAATTGTGGTTTTTGTCGTCAACGGGGTGGGGTAGATCTCCCTGATGGGGGCACTGTCCCCCGGCACCCAACTGGCGCCACCCCTGTGTCGTCCTCGTCATTTTCGTCGATTTCAGCATCCTCGCTGCCCTATCAGTATAGCAGTAGTAACTGTTATGTATCCAAATAAATGAGGCAAAAATATTTTTCGATTTCAAACACAAAATAATAATAATTACTACTCACAGAATGTTGTTTCCGGGACCGCCATGCCTACCTCGCATAATCTTGCATTATTTATTCTGAATGATCAATTAAGGTTAGTCACTCGTGGAAGGATTTCTTAATGACACGTCTCGTTGTAAACATTGCATCATGCAGTATAATCCTGTTGAGCGAATATTCAAAAACATTTTTTTTGTTGATATAACAAGTCCGAAGCTGCAAGGTTAGGTGCATGAACTTGCTTTCTAACCTTGTACATGTACAGACTATAAAGACACCTTCCCCTCCTGTGTGTGTTTAAATGAACCCCTTCCCCCTCCTGTGTGTGTTCAAATGAAATATTAACTTAAGCATGTGACTATTATTTATCTGAAGAGGGGTGAATGGCAGCGTTACTCTTACTAACATTCCTATTCTAACTATTTTAAACTATATTGTTTTCAACAAATCACAAAAAGTATTTTTAACACTTCCTAAAATTCAATATAGGTCATAGGAAATTGTAGATAATGGATAAGGGAAGTATTTCTGAGAGTAATCGTCACAAATATGTAATGTCATTTTACCCGTACGGTGTGTTACCAAGACTTATATTTACACATTTCGTTCAAATTCAAATTCCAGATTATTTTTTATTTTTTACACGAAGTTCATTGAATATAATTTTCAACAAGTTTAGTTTGTGTGGAGGGGCGAGTCAGATCGACCCACCCCTTAAAAATAAATAACCTTAAATACTGTAGCATAATATAAAAATACTGTATTGGCTAAATATATTTACTTTTACTGTTATTATTATCTTCGCAATGAGATATACTTTTTCAGTCGTGTAAGTTTGTGTGTGTGTTGTGTGTAACGTTTTGGTGTTTTCATGTGGTTTTTTTTTTGTTTTGTTTTTTGTGCGACATTTATCTCACAAACGGCGGCACAGACATAATTGAAAATAACAGGGAGTGTTAGGTATAACCCAATGAAGAGATTATTAAATTTTGGTGACGGTCCGTAGTATGCTATGGATATGAGGACCATTTAAAGGGATTTAAGAGCAAACGTCCTGGACAAGATATTTCAAAAAACTGATATGAATGAAATTTTTGTGAACGTTTAACCAAGTTACAAGGAAAAAATTGTTGGTGACGATCCAAATTCGGAAGTGAATTTGAGGATCATTTCAATTTTAAGGTCGTGCGTGTTTCCTGTGTTCAAAACAGCTAGATCTAAATGGCAGTTACAGGGATAGTTAGGTATGACCCAAGGAAGAGGTGATTAAATTTTGGTGACGACCCGGAATAGGGTGTGGTTAGATTTATTTTATAGAAAGAAGGTGGGCGGAGATATGCTCTCTACTTAGTGCTCTTTATTGTTATTATTATTACAGTACACAAGTTAACCTGGATTTTTAAATTATTTTTAGTCCAACTACGTGTATTACAGTATAGTACAGTAGTAGAAACTAACATTGATAGTTCGCTGTCTTTAACAAGCTCCGCAGGAAAAATATTTTTTGATATGTTGCAGAATTGAATTTTTTAAGACATGAAAGGCATATTTGACGAAAAATCAGAAGCGGTTAATGAGATACAGATTTTTAAATATTTAAAAACTAAGGGAAAAGTTGAAAAAGGGTGGTTACCCCTTTCCCTCATTTTTTCCCCTCCGGAGGCTGGTTTCCATAAAAATCGGTACAAGCTATCGCCGACTCCTTTGGCGACGCTCATTGGTCAGTTGAATCAGAGAGCGTTCCAGATACGCAGTGCAAGAAATGCATTGAAAACGCTGTAGCGAATGTGTAGCGATTCTATGGAAACCAGGCTTAACCCACCAATAACTTAAGGTGACGATCGTCATTAGGCAATTTCGCCACTAGAGGGACAGTTCCGTCAGTTTTTTAAAGGCTTAATCTCCTACCAGTCGGCAGACAGCAATGACGCAAGCATGGCACCAGGATGGTGGCGGGGTCTAAGCAACTGGGTGTTCGAAAATTTCCAATGGATGCCGATGGGGTCCAGCGAATTGTAAATTTTAGACTACATTTCGAACGTAATTAATTTGAAATATACTTTATAGATTGGTTTTCCTTTAACCCTATGTGTCATGGCTGACCTGTAGTATTGACCTGTCGATTAAGTCTTCCCTAGCTGGCCCCACCACTGCTACTAGCACCAATATACCATTCTAAAATTATATGTTTACTGCTAAGAATAAAATCTATAAATATGGTTCTTTTTAGACTGGAAATCATTACTATAGTTATAATGTCTGGGTACCTTCATCAAAGAAAAAAACAAGACTGAAACATTATTTAGAAAAATAATTTGGGTAATTAAATTGCGGAATTTAATATTAAGCTTCTCCATTAAATTTAAATAATTTTTTAAACGTTTAAAGATAAGCCTTTTAAACTGGGATCTGTGTATTTTATATTGATGATAAATGTTACTTAAATTTAAAGAGAAAATTTTAGACGATATCGGTGTAAATTTAATACCATGCTTAACTCTTGTACACAGAAAGATTTTAAATTCAATAGTATATTTATTTTCGAAACAAAACGTAATGAATCGTAGCAATGAACAAATATTTATAAAGTAACAAAAAATAGACAACACAATATCACAAAAATATTTGTGCGGAGGGCAGTCAACCAATTAAAGCTTCAATATCGACTAAAACCTTTAAAATAAATATTACAAAATAGATATATGAATAATAATAAACTCAAGTACAAAACAACAACAGAAATGAAAATATTAGAAGACTGGGTCCTATTGATTATAACATTTACAACATTACATATGTTAATATGAAATATGTTTTGTATTTTTATTACGCAAGTGAATGACTATTAGAAAGTATAATACATACTCCAAGTATTGAAATACACGCCATCCATCGTGTTGGGATTAAAATGAATGACTATTCTTGATGAGAAAATATCATTTTTGGAATAGGTTTTATACCTACTAATAATAATGTTTACTATATAAAAGGCAAGTGTACTATTATCAATTAGGAAAATTGCAATAACGGGGGGGGGGGGGTTTGTTTCCCTAGATAATTTTTCTCTCCTCCCCAATCATATCAATCGCTTTAGTGAAGTTGACGCAGGGTATTCGCTTATCCAGTAGTGTACTAATCACGATCAATACCAGCAATGTGTTAATTTGCCCTTATCTTTTTATATTTTTCCAAAAAAAAATTTGTCTTTGCCTTGACTTGCTCCCCCCCCCACCCCGATTTCAGACGCTGGCACCACCACTGATATTTGTTGTCTATTTAAAATGAATTCATATCAAAGAAAAATGGTGTAAACGAACTGAACATCCATTTGGTGAACTGGTTTCTCACAGACGATGTAAAGAAAAAAACTGGTAAAAACCAAGAAAAAAAAATGAGTGGGTCGGTAACTCCCACAAAAGACAAACAAAAACATTTTTGGCATCTCAGACTTGTTAATTAATCGACAATACTGCTTTAAGTATTATAATTGGCAAATATTTATATGCATAAAAGTAAATGTGGCCTGCATTCAGTGGCGTATCTAGAAGTGGCGGCTGTAAGATATATTTTCTGGGGGCTAAGCTGTCCGATGGGAAGGGTGGCCCTAGCCGGTCCCTAATGACATTAAAAAAAAAAAAAGGGACCTCTAGATGGCCAAAAATTGAACTCTTTTGTAAAATACATTAAATGTAAAGTTGTTAAAATAAAATTGTTACTACTCTTGAAGTCAAACACACACTTCATTTCATTAGGCCTATTTTATTTTACTGTATTTATTTGTTGGTCCAACTGCCCCTGCTGGCACTGCCAATGGTATCTAGGGGCCCCTTAAAGATTAAGTGCTGTCTCTTATACACAGGGTGCTAGCTAGCAAAATAAGGTGTGAAATGAGGTGATTTTTAATTACTTGAGTGTAATTTTTTCCCCTGAACAAGTGACTGGGGGAGGGGGTTTAAGCTTATCAGTGTTATAATTAAGGGCCCATGAGCATTAGCATATGGAGTAGCAATTGCCTGCTTATGACCCCTCACTTAATCATCAAGCCCCACCTACCTTTCAAAATGTCATTCCCCATTAACTCCCCTTCTCAATACTTCTAGATACGCCACCCCACCCACGGGAAATCTATATCAATCAGTGAAATTACCTAGAAAGGGTTCTCTTGCAATGACATCAAAATTGATCCAATCCATGATCCCTAGAAACAGTTCCTCTTCAGACAACACCAACAGATCACGTGCCTTCAGGATCTCCAGCAACTTGCCACCACCAATTGCATTTTGGAACTCACTGTTATGCAAAGCTTCAGACACGTTATCACTAACAAAATCTCTCGTCAAATTTTGTAGACATTTATCATCGAACAAGTACGCCAAACTGTAAACACTAATAACAAACTCTTTTATTGATGTTGAGTAGTTCAAATAGGATAAAACAAGAGCACTAATTGTACATTTACATCGGTGTAGAACCCAGTGACTCTGTGTAAAATTTGCAACTTTCCATACGTCTAATATATTCCCAGTTGTTAAGTCAACAGATCCAGGCGAGGAGATTTCTGCAAGCCAGTCTCTGAACCCTTTTGGATTAATAAGCGGGTCCTTTAAAACGACCTTCCTTTCATTGGTCTCTATCATACCACTTGTAAACATACTTTGGAAAAAGCTGCTTTGAGTGGCTAGGACGATACTATTAACTGAGAATACATTGCCATCGACGACAACAATTTTGTCACCTTTGACATGTCTTTGAACTTGCTCTTCCGGTTTTGGCTGTTAATCATAAGATAAAAAAAAATCAGACACATTATTATTTTTGTTACTTGCTCATCCAGCTTTAAAGGAATATCCAGATTCTATGACTGATTTTAATTATTTGAATTTAACAATCTTTTAACATGTACAGTTAATCAGCCTTACCTTGATAGTCCTAAAATTATCATCACATGCTGGAATGCACAACTAAATCCCTATTTCAATGAAAACTCATTGGTTCATTTTATGAATTAGGCAAAACAAATTTGCTAACATAGGGGAGATTGGTTGCATCCACATCTTGACTATTGCAGACAATGCCCATGAGTACTACTACTAGACAGTAGTTTGATAAGTTCAAGGTAGTACTGTACTACAGTAGTAGCAGTTATAGTTGCAAAGCTGTAGCCAGGATTGCCATTGGGAAAGCAGAAAGGAGGGGGACTGGGGTTGCAGGGGTATTCAAAAATGGACCAACTGGGGTTAGGAAGCAGAGCCAGTTGGATAGCAGATTCACTTTTCTTTTCTATGGTTAAAATGTTAAGATTTAATATTTTCCTTTTTAATAATTACAAAAAATAACAAATTTTACATTGAGTTTATTCTTGACTGTCTTAACAGAACTGCCTCCTCCACCACCTCGAAACAATCCATCTCTCTGGCAGGGATTTTCCATTATCTATTACGGAACAGAGTAAAAAATAAATGTATTTTGTAAATACAAAAATATAATACTACTGTAGTATTGTATTAGTGTTTTTTTACCAGACTGTTTGCAAAACAATTCATCACAATCAGTTACAATTTTCATCAGTACTTTTTAAATATCTATTTATCAGTTTACCTTTAATTAGCCACATAGGCATACCATACTTTCTCTGCTTATTGAAAAAACCCTGAAAAGATAAGCTGCACCTTATGATGCTCATAACTCTCAGTGAAGAAACGTAAAAAAATACTACTGGGTCCTGGCATGCTAACCTACCTAGGCTTTGGCAAATCAGACAAACTAGGCTTAGACCAACTATCCTTCAATTAAATAAAAATATACACACTGTTTTTGGTTTGACGTCGTAATAATTTATGTACGAAAGTGTCAGGTCTATCGGTTCATCGATCCATGGAAGAAAGACTATAAGTATCCAACTACTCAATATTGTTGGAATATAATAATTAATATATTGCCTATGTCCTTGATTTTTTTTCCTCTATGTATATAGGCCTAAAGAATGAGATAAAATTACCTGACCTTTTTCAAGAGGGGGAAAACTTTGAATTTGGAAGAACTTAAAGGTCATTAAAAGACTCCGCAGAAGTTAAGCTCATTTCCAGTCATCTAGGAAACAAAATTTTTCGGACCCCCTTTTCATTTTGGGGTTTTTAGCAAACATTCTGAACCCCTATCTTTCAAATCATGGATCCGCACCTGACTCAATGGCAGTTACAACAGATGCAACTTCCTTTAGAAATTCTTACAAAGGCCTCCAAGTGATTGTTTCCAGTATACGCCAATAATATCGGCACTGTCTGGGGGAAATCCTCCCTCAATACAAACATATCCTGATGGCCCTTTCCAGACTATCAAATTTGATTTGACAAAAACATGTGTACTGCCCAAATAGTCATTATGACATCACATCATATGACCATATATAGGCACATCATAACTGTTATATTGGCATACAGTTATTTGTCAAAGAAAATATGATAATCTTGACAGAGATTTTATCAATACTCTACTTTTGTTGCTCCCTGTCCCTGTACTGAATTCTTGCTGCTGTTTATAAAAAATTAAAATTATTATTATCTAGGCCTATTTCAATTTTATATTTTACATGCCAGGGAGACATCAGATTAGTGGCCTACAAGCATTCACTCATAATATACAGACACTACTTACCTGTTGGACAACGAATTACACTTTCTACGAATCACACATTGGACGACGAAAATTGCAGCTTCTAGCATCCTACACAAATCAATAAAGTAACTATCGTCTCCGTGCTGCAGCCTCCTGTGTGTGGTGCCATCAGCACGAACGAAATAAGAGACAGGCTTCAGACACGTTATCACTAACAAAATCTCTCGTCAAATTTTGTAGACATTTATCATCGAACAAGTACGCCAAACTGTAAACACTAATAACAAACTCTTTTATTGATGTTGAGTAGTTCAAATAGGATAAAACAAGAGCACTAATTGTACATTTACATCGGTGTAGAACCCAGTGACTCTGTGTAAAATTTGCAACTTTCCATACGTCTAATATATTCCCAGTTGTTAAGTCAACAGATCCAGGCGAGGAGATTTCTGCAAGCCAGTCTCTGAACCCTTTTGGATTAATATGCGGGTCCTTTAAAACGACCTTCCTTTCATTGGTCTCTATCATACCACTTGTAAACATACTTTGGAAAAAGCTGCTTTGAGTGGCTAGGACGATACTATTAACTGAGAATACATTGCCATCGACGACAACAATTTTGTCACCTTTGACATGTCTTTGAACTTGCTCTTCCGGTTTTGGCTGTTAATCATAAGATAAAAAAAAATCAGACACATTATTATTTTTGTTACTTGCTCATCCAGCTTTAAAGGAATATCCAGATTCTATGACTGATTTTAATTATTTGAATTTAACAATCTTTTAACATGTACAGTTAATCAGCCTTACCTTGATAGTCCTAAAAATCAACAGAAGAGGGAAGAGAAGGGTCAAAATCAAGATACAGTTGTAGATCATCAGCATAAAAATGATATTTAATACAATGACGCCTGATGATGTCTCCAAGCGGACTGATGTATAACCTCTGTCTCTTATACACATCAGTATTAGCCTAATCGCTCACTCATGCTCTGTCTTCTTCTAATCTATTTATCTTTGCCCTGCAGGCGTGTTAGTTAAACTAAACATCACTGAATAAATGGACAAAAATGGGTGCTGTGGAAGTTGGAAGGGCAACGGAAAACAGACAAAAATGGATGGAAACTGTGGAAGTTTCATCTGAAGTGCTCCCACGACCTGACGGCTGCCAACAGGTTTAATATGGAACTGATGATATGATGATGATGCAG